TATTATTTAACACACACACACACACACACACACACACACACACACACACACACATATTTGGGCTACCATGTCATTTTCATGTGTTTATATTACATAATGTTCAAATGAGGATAAACTTATTTCTTCAAATATTTATCTTTTCTTTGTGAGAAAAGCACTTCCAGCTTTTTTGAAATGCACAGTAGGCTGTGATTATTATTACCTCACTGTGCGATAACACACTTTAACTCACTTTTCCTGTCGAATTGTAACTTAGTACCCACTGACCAACTCCCCACCCTGCCCCCCGCCTTTTAGGTTCTTGCAGTATTCGTTTAGTGCCTGACTTATTTGAGTGAGGGATTTTTTTTTTTTTTTAAGGATGCTGAAACCGGGACAAGCAAACAGGAACTGCTGACACCAGCTTCTGGTTCTTGAAGTATCTCATCAGACAGAAAAGAAATGTGACATGAACATATTCTGACACTAGGTGGCAGTCGATCATCTTTGCTGGGATCATGTAACCCTCGTTTCCCAGCAGAGGGCCTGTGACAGTCTTGTCACTGGGGAAATCTGGGCTTTCTGGGCTTTCAAGTACAAGTGTGGGAGGAGAAGCAAGAGGGAAGGAGGGAGAGAGAGAGAGGGAGGGAAGGAGGGAGAGAAAGAGAATATCAAAGTGAGAAGAAGGCAGGTAACGTTGTTTAGTAAGAGCTCCCTCCTGCTGTCCACCTACCCACTTAAGCCACAAGAGATTTGGGGACCAGGGTGTCCCTGGGTGGCAGTGAGTACAGCTCTGCTGGCATAGGGTGGTGTCCATGAAATCAGCCATTGGCATTCTGGCCTTGAATCCAGGATCTACTAAATCCATGAATCCTCGTTGGGTCACTCTCCTAACTGTGCTTAACCCCACTAGTACTCAGCTTTCTCAACTGACTTGTGAGGTACTCAGGCACAAGGGAGTGCTGAGTGTGTGCAAAAGCCGCAAGGTCTAACCCTGTCCCCCCTCCCCTTCTCCCCTCTCCCTCCTTTCCTCCTCCTCCTCCTCCTCTCAACACGCCGTCCTTCTCCCAGACTTCTACAAGGCCTCTGAAGCTTGGCCTTGGAATCCAAACCCCAAAGCCAGCAAGGCTGAAGCACTGGGCACATGGCTGCCTCCATGGGTCTTTGGGACCAGACGAGGGTGGTGGGTCTCCCGCTATGCCGCTGAGGGTCCCACTTGCTTCCATGCTCCTCCCTTAGAGTAGATGCCTCCTGGGAACCTGGGCTGGGGCCAGCGAAGCCCAAGAGAATTTCAAAGGAGCATTACGGAGGGTGTAATTCTCTCAAATCTCACGGCAACACTTGCTAAGGAGCAGATGAAGACTCGCTGTCCCTCAGGTCTCGTGGCGCAGAGGCTCTCTCCTCCACAGCTCTGAATTTCAGGGAAGCCCAGCAACCTCCAGGTGGCCCTCTTCTCCCCAGGTTCCTGCAGACCTGGCTGCCACCCGGTGAGGACAGACAGTCCGGTTCCTCCAGCCTCCTCCTGACAGGGTTTGGGCAGGGTGGGGCTAGAGAGGTGGTAGTAGTGGGTGTCAGGGAGTGGGCAGGGTGTGGCTGGCCTCCATGGAACAGGGTTGGGCAGCTGAGGGAGAGGGCAGAGTCCACTTGGGCCCACATCTCAGGAGGCTAAGGGCCAACTCCCTGAGGCCCGAGCAAGCCCCAGGCCTCGTTTCATGGGTGGGGACCCAGCTGCTTGTGTGCCCCCTGACCCCCACTTCAGAAAATTAGTGTTGGGGAAACAGACGCCTCCAAATCTGCAGAGCACTGTACAGTTTGGAGTTAGGCTGTGGGAGAATGGAGGACAAGTAAGGACTGGAGCAGAATATCTCCAAAGCATAAGTGTCCCTACTGGTATCAGATGGGAGGGCTCAGAGAAGTCATTTCCAGGCTCTTGGTATCTGGAACTGAACTGAGCGTGACACCAAGTGGGGCACGCGAAAACAGTAATAAGAGTAAGATTTATTTAAAGCAAAAGTACACGCCATGGGGTGAGAGCAGGAAGTGAGCAGAACTCATAGCCCCCAGGAGGGGCAGGTACAGTGTCTCTTAAGGTACTGGGGTTATAGGAGGGCCTATAACTAGGAAGTGACAGGAGAGGTATCTTCTCCCTGGGTGTTGGGAGAATTCTGCACCCCTAGGAGGCTGCAGTTCTTGACCTGACTGCACCACCCCCACTCCACAGCTCAACTCCCAGCCGTCCGTCTAACAAACAGCCCAGTCTGAGCCAGTTATCTGGGTCGCCCTCGTCCAGCTCTGAGCTCTAGATAGTCACACAATGATCACAATAGTCACTGTTTTTAAGATGATAATGATGATGATGATGATGATCCTTTGGATCTTGCTTTGTCCCAAGCACTACTGGAAGCATTTTACATTTTTGGACTCATTTCATCTTCACTACGGTCACATGAAGTGAAGAGCACTATCATCTCCCCTTTTCAGGTGATGAGACTGAGACACAGAGAGGTTTGCAACTTGTCCAAGATCACGCAGCTGATGAGCAGCCACTGGACATCAGGAGATATGCTGTCCCTGTCCACATGGATTTCAAAATCGATCATGGAAAAAGACAAAAAAAAAAACACCAAATAAGTGAGATAATTACAAAGTATTAAAGAAATCAGTGTGGTAGTGTGGTTGAGTCACCTGAAGGCTCTGTTGGAGAGAATACTTTAGGAAGGGTTCTCCTTCAGCTGAGACCGCTGGACAAAAACAGGAAGTGGAGGAAGAGTTTCCGGTGCAGGGAACCATTAGTGCAAGGCCTCTGAGGCAGGAAGACCTCCAGCCTCTACTCAGAGTTGGATTTTCCATGTGCAAAGCAGTTGAAGAGTTCTCAGCAAGGATGAGACTCTCTCCCATGAGAAGCACGTTGCCTCTTCACTGAGGAAGAGTGGCTTGTAAGGGACAAGGGCTTCCTCTAGGAAGCTTGGGCAGGAGAGGGTGCTAATTTGGTAACTTGGGCTTCAGGGGCTGTAGAGATGAGGGATGGTCTTAGGCTGAATTTGCTGAAGGGATGAGGAAACACGGGTGTGAAATTGTGAATCAGACCCCATTTTTCTCCTGGAGGAAGTGGGTGCTCCTAGTAATGCCCATCACTCACCAAATCTACTGGGATATTTTCTTTGCCTCTGCCACCTGCCATGCGGTCTCTGCTGTGCTGAGAAACCTCGCGATCACTCCATCCTTGCAGCCTTTGCACTGCCCAGGATGCTGGCCCTGTGGTAACCTTTTGCTGTTCAGGGTCCAGCTCGGCTACCCCCGCTTCCCAGAGCAGCCTTCCTTGAACACATCACTTGTGCCTGACCCAGGCCCTCTCCGCCCTGGCACTCCATTCCGATGCTCTAGCTTATACTCTCCTTTTCACTGTCTGGAGGGATACTGTTCATGTGTCTGCCTGCGTGCATTTTCGCCCTGTTTCTGCTGGAATGCAAACTCTCCTGAGGGCGGGCAGGACCAGCAGGGCTGCAAAGGGTCTCCCTGAATTGCTGAATCTCGTCACAAGAGGGCGCGAGTAAGCTTCCTTTCCCATTCTCTTCCAGGAGTCTAAAGAGGCACATTTTACCTCGCAGAGTGCACGTACAGCCGGGTTTTAATATTTTCTGAGAATTGAAAAATGTTTTTCTGCGGGGTTTCACGGTACTGATGTAAGACGGGTACGGAAGGTAGGGTAGAAGGGCGGGATTGCTGGGGCGCCGTACCTCTTCCCCGTGCTGCCCTTAGGTCTTCTGCTCCTGACGGGAGCAGCCCGCCCTTTGCGCACGCAGGACCTGCGTTCACACTTCCTGCACCGTGACACAGCACTTGGCAGTGACCCCAAAGATTTCCCAACCTACTGGGTGCACAGTTCCGTTTGATGAAGCTTGACAAGCGCTTAACGCAATAGTGAAGCACAGATCGTGCTGTCTGGTTGCTGTCGTTACTGTCCTGGGGGACGGCAGGAGGGACCCTTCGCGACCTGACGAATTCCAGCCCCGTTCCCTGCCCGCCGAGGTGGTGCCGGTGCTGCCCTGTCTGTCTGCGATCAGCCTGCGAGGGTGGGCGAGAGAGGCGCTGGCCAGGGGGCTCGAGGAGTGACCGTGGTGCAGAGCGGGGTTGACTGCGGCCACTCTGGTGACCCCCCATCAAATGTGGACTTAGGGAGGCCTGGAGTGTCCCCAGATGAGGAGCGCAGAACTTGATTCGGACCAGATTCTGGCCGCTCACCGAATTGGACCAGAACTGAATCAAATTCAATGGTTAGGTTCAATGTCGACCATCTGGGGAAATTCCATTCCGGTCTCCTCCAATTTGGTGCGCGACCAGAATCGTGGAAAGAATTAAGTTCTTGAACAGAGATAACACTGTGGCTTTAACAGGAAGCTGAAGAAAGTTATTCCTTATTAGTAAGCGCTTGTATGACTTTTCAGTTCTTCCTGGTCATGGTTAGTCTCTTGCTGTTTGTCTTTCCCTTTATTTCTTTAAACATATGGCTTTTATGTACGCCCCTTCCCCAGGTTTATGCCGGCCTGGTCCTGCGGTTTGCTGTTTCTGCTGCCCCTCCCCCGTGATGGTCTGTTTCCTTGTGTGTGTTGTGGTTTTGGTTTTGTCGAAGTTCTCTGTGGGAGGTACATTCCTGGCTCAAAGATGCATTTCTTTTTCTTTTCCGTTTTTTAGTAATGCACTTCATAATACATGCATTGTGGATAACTAGTGCATGTACAGCACACATCTTAATTCTTTTTAATCCTCTTCCTCTCTCCCCCTCCTCCATCTCTTAGTTCCCTTCAAAGATCTATCTCCCTATCTCCTATGTCTGTCTTTTACTTTGCTCTTTGGTTTATTTATACTTCAAGTTTTGAAGGTGTGCTTCTGCAGGAAGCGCTGTGATTGCTCTGTCAAGAGTCGGGACATACTGACAATAGAGCAAAGTCTTCTCTATTACTTCTTCCTTCCTTTCTTGTTTGTTTTTCATCAGAGTTCACTTGAAATTCATCCTGGGAGTTTTAAGACCATAGTTAAATCGATGCCATTTCGGACTCCTTAGCCGTGCCGTCTGCCAGCAGCTCGGCAGTCTCCAGGGCCTGGTTTTCCCAGCCGCCCCCAGTGGAGGACGGCATGGACACGTTCCATTCTTTCCCCTTTCACTGATGCCCTTTCCCTCAGGGCACAGCTTCCCCTGAGCCAGGCTGCACTCAGAGGGGTCTCCCGCCTGACTGTGCCCCTGCCTGGGCCTGCGTTTCCAGCCAGGCCTTCCCTGTAAGATGGTGTGGAATGCATGAGCCGTCCTTGTCCTCATCCGTGTCCACCCTGTCTACCTCCATTCCCGGCCTATGTGTAGCTTTCTTTCAACTTTTCCTGTTGATTAGAAAACATGTTTTAAAAGAAGTTTTTCTAATGTTTTGGGGTCTCATAGGCAGAGAGTTTCAGAACAGC